AAGTAACTACATGTGTGTAATATTTAGCACACTCAATACAAATAACTCTTTACAGAATGATTCACCGAACATACTCACCCCCATTTCTTCCTTTAATAATAAATTTATTTAAAATTTGATTTTTGGAATTCTTCAACATATTTTAAGATCATATTTTTAAATTCTTGTGATTTTTTCTCTTTTACTCAATGACAATCTTATGGATAAACAAACTTCTATTTTTTTTTAAATGAATACTTACCACCCTTTTCTACTGTAAATTATTCAGAGGTTAATTTTTCTGAAAATTTTGAAATATCAAAATCATAATTCGTAAGAGTAGTTTTTGAGTTTATTAACTTTGTGTACCTACTAAGAATAATAAGTCCATCATAATTATGGGTTTGGAATTATGGTATTTGAAAATGTTAGTGATTAATATTAATAATTTGTAAAAATGGTTCTAGCATTATGTACATACCTAATAAATAAGTACTAGATTCAATGTTACATCTATTTTATATTATTTTATTACCATTTTTATTTTTAAGGATCATTATTCTTAGTATAATATTTTAATAATATTGAGGAACTAGTAGTTCAAATTTTGAATTAGGTACATCAAAATTATTTTCAAAAAAATTATCCACTTAATAATTATTTAATAATAAAAATATGAGATTACCAAATAGTTTTTGGAATTTATATAATTAGAATCGCCTCCATGGGGTGTTCTCTGAGTAGTCTGAATGGTCCTCAAAAATATTTTAAGATCATTATTAATGCTACTATGTGAAGACCTGGGCATATTCTTTTATCCGAGCCGCGTTTACATATCAATCATTTTTACCTTAAAATAAACAGGACCGAGCATACAATAGACCCAGTATACTAATACAAATATTAATAATATTATACGTCCTACTAAGTAAACATCGTATGTTGCACGAACTGCAGTAATGATGTGCCAGCACATGATTTAAGTGTAGGAATTTTGAAGTGTTGCTATTATTGGAAAAAAAAACACTAAACCACTATATTATAATATAGTTGAAATGGACTAAAACAACGAATTTAAGAGGAATAATATATCAACTATTTGTGTGGTTCAGTATAGTAATACAAAGGCGAAATAAATAAGCCTGATCGCAATAAATTATGGAGTTTAAATGTTAAGAATAAAAATAAGTAGGTAGTATTATAGACGATAGATGAAATCTACACAGATTATTAATGAAAATGTAACATAATAATAATTTAATATAGACGATCGAGAGGAAAATGTATTGAACCGAGATTTTTCGGGTAAATGTCTCTACAAAATCAAGAGCATAATAATCGATACAAGTATTTAATAGAATATTTATTAGAATAATTATAAAATAGATATTTTAGTATTTAGTTTAAGTATCAATATAATAGACGCACAATTAAATTTCAACTATATGTTTTTTTAGATTTTGAACGTTGATGAGTGTATAGGTTTTACAATGATGTAATATGATTTTTATTTTTGCGTCTGAAGATACTATATTTCTAGCAGAAAAAAAAGCTTTGATGATCAACATCTAAAGAATTATCGCAGATTCTAAAATCTTGATTTTGATCTTAATAACTGAATATCAGATATTATATAGGTAGCACATAAAGTTAGTGTTATGTTTGAACTCTGTATTTTTAATAGTCTGTACTTCTGTAAATTTTTTTATTCGAATTTATTTAAAAGATTGTTTTTATTGCTTTTCTTCTTTTTAGTGCATTAAAATCCTACCATTTTAAGTATACTATAATGTATTATATTATTGTATAGCAGTTGACTGCAATAGCTAGCTATTATACATTTTATAAGCGACCCAAAGAATAACGCTTTTTTCAAAGAATGACACAAAAATATAATAGTATTTCAGTATTTGATCAAAAAATAAGTATTTTATAAAAAAATATTCATCGCCCACATGTTATGTTTTCATGTGCTCATATTGGAAAATATTTTATTTTTTATAAAACGAGTATAATGATGTCATTATATTTTGAACATAAACAATTTTCACTTACTTTTCGATATCCTATAAAGGATAATTAATTTTGAAAGACGACATCCAAAATATATTACCATTTCCAATAATAGAAAAATTGTTTTTTTTTTTTTTTGATATAACAATCATATACATAATATCAAACATATTATTAAAAAAATAATACATTTACTAAATTTTAACATGTACATGAATAATGAATATGCAAAATCCAGAAAATGTAAATATAATATTATAGATATTAATATATTATCATAATTTTTGAGGTATCTAAATGTATTATCTGTTTGAAAATTATTTGTTTCTAATAATTATGTTATTTAATATTGGTATTTTATTATTTGATCTTTATACGCATTTATCAAGGAAAACGATGTAAGTTATTAAAGCCTAAAGGTAAAATAATATTTTGTTAAAATTGGTTTTTTGTTATGTATACCAATTTGCCAGTGGCATCGAAGTCGTTTTTAAATTATATTGAAGAATAAAGACTCGACTCATCCTTCTTAGAAATATTTTCTGTAAAATACACATAACAGTATTTTCAACAAAAATAGATTCTTATTTTTGAACTCAAATAGTTCGTCTTCAATATTAATTATTGTAAAAATGTTGAAAGTTCATTTTTTCAAAACCTATGGAATTTGTCTGTATGTAAATTGCATAGGTACATGTATCAAAAATCACAGTCCACAATATAATATATATATGATAGTAAGCCACAAAACAATATCAAAATTTGTGCACAATTCAGCAGCGTATATTAGAGTTTGTTGGCAAATGACAATATTTGATAAAAATAAAATATTTCTATGTTAAAAACTGAATTCGGAATTAAATACGTGTTTTTAACTTCTTGTTTTTTGTTCATTATCATCGATCTAGATTCCGGATGATTTTTCATTGTTAACTATAATAATTTAGGGCTAAACTTTTCGAGGTATTAAAATTTAAAATATTTCAAGAAGAGTAGGTATAGAATTAGTTATATCTTGTCGGTTGACAAGTTATTATAATTTCTTTAACATTTTAATGGTATATTATATAATAATTTATTAAGATAGATTATAAAATAAAGTATTTAAGTTTATTGATAGAAATACACTTTTCTGGTGCGTATTTTTTTTCGTACTTTCAGACATATTTTGTATTTATATTTACTATTAACCTAAGTGTAGGAACCATTAAATTTGATCGAAAGCTACAGAACATTAGAGGAAAAAATACACAGTAAAGAAAACATTCAATTAGAGAGGCTACGGCGGGTCTTAAAATGTATTATAAAATTATTATTTTAAAATTGGCTTAATCATTCGTTGTTATATATAATAGAGTAAGACATAATCATTTAGATTCATGAGATTCAGCAAGATAAAATATTTTTTTGACATATGCATTCATATATTTTTAAGTGTATATAATGTAACATAATTTAAATACATTTCATGGCAGTGCAGAATAGTTTTTGTATTGAAGTGAAAACTGTAAAGGGACTATAACAGTGATATTTTTGTCAAAAAAATATGTATGTATAATTTGTCTAATCAGATTTGACAATAACAATGAGGTTTGATGCATATTTTAATATTATTATTGAATATTAAATAAGTACCTAAAAAATGTTGTAGAAAATCATTTTAACTATTTTTAGTGAAATATTAACCTAAGCCAAGCAAATAAAAATATTAACAATGCCAGTTCAATACAGAGCAGTTTGATTTAATATTAGATAGCGCAAACTATGTAAGTATTAAAAATATTTAAATACTACTTGTACAATGTACATATTGTCCCAAACTATGGGGTTGTGTGCGTGTGAGTACGTTGTATGACTAATTTATATTGCTGTACTAAAAATAAAAACTTATATTATATTAGATTTTAATTTAAAATTTTAACTAGTTATGTTTTAGATGATAAAAATTAATAGCATAAAGAGCATCGGATAACCCCCTACCCTTAGCTAAGGTGATTATATGCTTTCTCAAATATCGTAGTAAAATATGCATGTGTGAATTTTTAGTTATACAATTATATAAATCAATGTACTTTAGTCTATCTTCAAAAATAAAAATACAAACTGATACTTTTTTTACTTATGCTAAAAAATCGACGTGTTATTTAATGTTTGGTATTAAAAATATGAATTTATAATAATAATTTGAGATATTTTCCATTGGTTTTGGAAAAAATGTTTTTCATACTTTCGTAGAAGTACAAAAATAAGTTTGTGTTTTTTTTCATATATTGTGTTTTTTTACGTTAAATATTCTGTAAGTATAAATATTTTATGTATCCATCCATTTTTACATAAAAATGTTGATATTTTCCAACTATTTTCATTTTTCAGTAATAGTTATTAATGTACCATACAAACTAATATATTTTCACAATTACATAGTATAGATAAACATAGTGTGTTAACTGAGTTTTCAGTAAATGTTATTAATTTTTTTCAAAAATAAATCAATATATATATATTTTGTATTAAACAGACATTTTAGGTTACACATCGTTACATCAAATTAATAGCATCACAATAATATATAATATCGTCAATGTTTTCCCTTTAGATTTTATTTTATATTGATTTTAAATTATAGGAATTACATAACATTGTTTATTCGTTAAAAGTAAAAAAAAATAAATAAAGTGAAAAAACCTATTAAGTATGTGTTTACACATGACAACATATTTTATAAAACTCATGTACACTTGGTATTTATCCCAACTATTGGTTGTTAATAATTTATACATTACAACAAGGGAAATGTGAGACTATAATTCGTGATTCGATGGAAAAATCACAATTTATTTCCATGATACGAACTATGCGAGTTAATTAATTATAATATTATAATATTCTGTCTATGAATACTCTATTGAGTATAAAAATTTCACGTCGAGTACTCGATGAAAACGGGAAAAAAATTACACCCATAAAAATGATAAACAACAAACACGAGCGAATTAAAACGCACTTACCTTTCTTAAAATGATGAACGCTTTGTTGTGATCTTTTTTGGTTTTTCGGAAATGAGCCATCTCTCTAGAGAAATGATTAATATTATAAATACTATTGGTCGGAGGGAAAAAATGAGATTCTCGTCACGGCGTTACAGACGATATTATTATAAATATAATATCATTGAAATGTTCGGTGGTAAAAAAAAAAAAAACAAATTTAATAATAATTGATTATGGTAACCAACGATGACCGCCGTGCCTACACACTCCGGTGTGTGTCGTCGGTACGGTACAGTTGTTGGAACAGTCGAAGAAAAGCGAATGCGCGAGACTGAGCGGACACGGACGACTCATCGTCAGCAGGGACGGACGGAGTTTAGGCGAGTGTAAAAATAGATCATCGCATCCGCGATAACGCCGTGCTTATTAGCGAGTGGCGGTGGTGGTGGCGGGGGGGTGGTGCCTTCGTGTGCGGCGGCGGTGGTTGTGGCGGCGGCGGAGGGGCGAGGGGGGTGTGAACACTGTGTACGTATGGACAGACGTTGTAGTGTTGTGATATTTTTTTTCTCCACTAGCAAACTAACCTGTCGTGCGCGCGGTTCCTGCGAAATAATTTGAAAAAAATGCAACACGCTCTAGTGCCCTTAAAAGTTAAAACGTAATAATTAATATAAAATTTAGTATTGTAGAACAGAAAAGTCCCTTTTTAAAAGCACCTCGTTCAGTTCCCCTTTAATTTCTTAACATATGAACTTGTTCCTTATTTAAGGAAAGAACTCGCTCCAAATCCAGTTCCTCTAAAAAAAGAACTCGTTCCTATTTTAACCAAGTCATTTAAGCATTCAAGCATTTGAAAAATGCTGTTTTAGAATAATACCTTTTTTATTTTTAATGTTAAGGAAGAACAACGATCAATGAATTAAACATAAATCAATTAAAAATACTTTCTTAAAGGAGTAGAAACAAAGAAAACTGTAATACAATTAAAAATATGTTTTTAAACATAAAGAAGCTTTGATTTTTGTTCACATTACTCAAAAAAAAGAATTCGTTCATTTTCTTTATTTTTAATTTTTAATGGAAGTAGATCCAAGCTTTTTTCCTTCAAAAATGACTCGTTTTAAGAATCCATTCCTTTTGGAACGAGTTTCTTCTCAACACTAGATAAAATATAGATCAGTGGTGGACGGAGATCAAAAGATTTTGTCATTGAGAGGGATGAGTGGACAACGCTGATTTTTTAACACGCATTTTGACCTTTAAAAACACATAATTTAAACATTACAGATAAATGTATCAGTTAAAAACATAACTAAAAAGTTTAAGTAATAATTACACCTAAATTAGTAAATCATATTTTTAACCCCGAGACGACTCTAGAATAACATAATTAAGCAATTTATAAATATTAAAGTTTTAAATTTACATTTTAATCATATTTTTAATTTACCTGTAAAAGAAATAAGAACAAATCTAAAAAGTTATTTTTTATAATTTATACTTTATGATAAAAATGTTTTGTGTTTGAACTGTTAATTTAATACTTATTAGTTATTTTATATTTATTCAAATATTTTTCTTTTAGCCCAAAGCACATTTAATAAGTAGATAGGTGCAGTATTTATATTTTACATTCGTGGCTTTGATAAAGTTTATTGTTGAAATAGGTGGATATTCATATTTTATCAGATTAAAAAAAAAATGTTGTATTATTCACATTATTTTCTTTATAAAAATATCAATAATATTTAATATTATTTTAAATATTAAAAAAAGGTCACAAGGGGTATATCTACCTTTGTCCCCCGCCATTTGACCACCCCTGATATAGATAGGTATACTATACGATAAACTTATGTTTCACAAAGTATTATAATATGTGGTATCTATTTATTTTCACCACGTACCATGGTATAGATATAATACAATAATAGTTAATATGTGCAACGTGCGTGATCCATTGTTATCCAGAATGTCAGTCACTATAATATAACATAATTATTATTATTGTATTATATCAATTATAAGTTTTAAATTGTAATTCGAAAAACACAATATTTATTATATATCAATACGTTCACAAAATATGTGATTTTCATTAATTTGTCAAGAATAACGAAGACAATAATATTTTAATAGTTGTTTGATACTACCATCAGCGCTTGTAAGTAAATTACTTTTTTGCTTAATTTTTTGTAGTTAGAAAAAAATATTATAATGGATGGAGTTTTGTTAAACGAAGATGAAACACTATCAACATATAAAAATGTCTGCATTTAGAACAATTAACAGCCACTGCCCAGTGTTATTTTAATTGGCGTTTCTTGTAGGTGTGTTATTATAATGTATAATTAGGAAATATTAAATTGTTTAATGCTAATAAAAATTGTTTACACTTTAAAAAAAAAACCAATATAGAGCCGAATTTAAATTTCTTTTTGATATTGAAATTATAATTTTCTGCTTCGACAACTGAGGCCATTAGCATTACATTTATACATACATTAACATTTTAATAATAATACACACACAATTAAAAATTGAGAGAAGAATACAAATAGAAGAAAAAAAATAATTGAATAAATACAGTTTTAAAATACAATTTAGTTATTTATGTACATTACAATTGTTGGTTTTTTTTAATATTAGATTTAAATTTTTTATTGTTTTAAAGAATTCTACTGTTTTGATTTCGTTGTCAGGATTTGGACCTTAAACTTGTTTCAATAAGGTATAGCTTATGTTGAGTTCCTCTTTTTGTTTTTCGTACTGCCTGGAATTGTAAATTTATAGACATGAAAAATGGAATTTATTTTTCCAAATATTTATTATATGTAACAGATTTAATCAAATTAATTTTTATAGTTCTATAACATTTATCTTTTTCAAATTTTATGACTAATAAAAACATTACATTTTTTTATAATATTATTGATTTTTTTTAATTTATTTTATATTGTAGATTTATATTTTATATGCATGTATATAATAATAATAATATTATAAAATATGTATTATATAGTCTGGATAATGAATGAAATCGTCAAGTTATTTCATTTTATACGCTAAAGACGAATCGCTTAAAATGTATTATGTGCGTATTTTACGTTAAGAAACCATTCGGCTGTGTTATTTAATTAAAACATTGATCTAAGGAAAAATACATCAATATTTTCTGTTTGAAACTAAATCTCCATAATATTGTTTGTTTAAAAGAAGACGGCTCATTTAATTGTAAATAAAATATCAAATTTGTGAAGATTAATAATGCGATTTTGACGTTGACCTTGCGATAAAATTGTGTTTGTCTTGAGAAAGTTATGTGATGATTACTTGGCAGGCATCGAATCCAATAACTTCAACTTACTGCCTCGACTGTCAATGTGGTAAATTTACCTCTCCTAGGAGATTTGAGATATTTTGTTTACCTTCAGAATGAAAACGTGTACGCAGTGGCTGCAGATAACATTTACTATAAAGAGGAACGAATAATGTTTACAATCTACTTAAAAACGGTAAATAATTGTTATGAAACATATTTTTCTGAGAAATTATTTCCTTTAATTTTTAATTTTCATAAGATCTCCCGACTTTGCCACTGGAGCAGCGAAGCCCTGTATCAGCCACACCCACGCGTATTAAAAAAATATGTAGACCGAAAGACATATTCCTTGCCTTCGACCAAACCTGCCAGTCCCCAACATAATAGCCTTCCTTCAACAAACTGGACTGCTCAAACTAATTTAAGTAACAAGTACACCATTCTATACATTTTTTTCCTTTTTTGTTTATATTATTTTCTTTATTATATCATTAACATTATTTAACCAATTAAATCTTAACATGTTGTTATACATATCTAACAATGGTCTTGCTGCCAAGGGTTATCTTTATAAATAAAAAAAAAAATGTAACACCGCCTGGAAATGTGCACTTATATTCGATTGCAAACAAAGAAAAAAAGTGTTATTCGTGTTTATACCAATCACTATATACACACAACCAAATAGATCGACTTGAATTATAATTCATGGGCATTGACATTTCCTGCCTAAGGACTCGTACGCGAATACGCGATTGAATGTTTTACAAGCTGCAGAATACATTCCCATTTCCGTCCGGACAGTTGAAAGTAGCCGGCGGCGGTAAAACGTTATCCCGTTGTCACTATAGTGACTTTTCAAGTCGAATTAAACCCCATCCCCCAAGCGACGTTGGCAGTAATATGTGGGATAAAGAATATTGAGTTTTGTATACACGTTCGCTAAATATAATATAGAGGATTTCAGGATTATTCACTAAGCATGCCTCCATTTTTATCCTATTAGTTTAATAGTTAATTTTTATCAAAATATTCTGATTTTCTAATTTTTCAAATATATGCTAAAGGACCATAATACTTTACCATACTCTTTTATGCAACATATAGAAAGAGCATTTTGTGACAAAGTTATATTTTTCAAATTAGAACTACCCTTTTTAGTGTATAAATATGTTAAGGAGAGCATGAAACCACTTTTGATGTATTTGCAATCGCAATTCGAATGATTATTTTTTTAGTAGGTAGGTAAGTTAATTTTATATGACGTACAAAGAATACTGGCTCATGGTAATAAGGTTAAAATATAAAGGAAATGATACCCCACGGGCTATGGCTACTGTTATTTAAAAATTACTAATAAGCAAGGTTCGGGACTTTTAGCATTTACATATCCATCATAGGTGATGCAAACATAGCAGAGTGATATACAAATACGTTTTATAGTACGGAGAAATCAAATATGAAATTTTATTTTGCATATTTTAGAGGTTTTTGCATTTTTTTTTTTTGTTATACAGACGCATATTTTACGATTGATGAATATTATTGTTCAAAATGTATTAATTAAAGCTATCTGTCACAAAAATGTTGGGCATGAACTTGATTTATAAATACTCAATAAATCGAAAACCATATAGTTATCTGAGATAGTTAATTGAAAAACGTCTGATATGCGTACTTATCCACATTCTTACATTCGTATAGATTGGCAAATTATGAAAATAATGTATCTAGTAATCGATATACTGCACCGGTGTACATTTTTTTCAGAACATTCAAAACCCAATTTTTAAAGATTTTATTTTTATTTTTTAAATTTATTAATTAATAGTTATATTTAAATTCCAATTTTTTTTCATATTTATATGAAATAAATCCTTTTTTTAATGACTTTTTAAGTGCTTTTCTTTCATTTTTAGTGCTTATTTTTAAGTTTATCGGGTCATATATAAGCGCATATCTTAGGTCTTTTTAGTGCTATAAGTCCCGAACCCTGCTA